ATTTATATCGATTAGGTGAGGGGAGTGTCGTAAAATGATTAGTAATACCCCATATTTAGTGACTTAATTCAATTAAGTTATTGGATAGGTTGAAAGTTTTAATATCAGATAGAACCCATTTTTAATATTAAGAATTATGTTCCGAAATTAAGTCCAAATATCATTTTCATATAAAACATATAGATTTTGAGAGAAAGTTGAGTGCATAGATGAACAAGTCAAAACATAAACCAATTATTATTATTATTATTGATATTTAACAGCCAAGGATGTCTGAGCTGGTTTATACACACTTTTTTTAATTCTCTCTCCAGTCTAGTCAAAAGTAGGTCATTCACGTCAAAACTAAGATATTAATTAAAGATAAATTTCTTATAATCTAACTTAAAAAAATTATCAAAATTTAAATTCAAATATTTGAATTTATAGCTCCTCTCCACTATCATTTCAACATTTCCTTGGGTTATAAACCAATTAATTATTGAGACGGCAAATCTGTCAAATGAGACGATTCCACAGTTCACTTCAATTCATATGTCAAGGTATTCAACCTTTAAAAAAATACCCACGTTCCTTTATTGGCTGATAATTTTTTATCCAAATAAATGTAGATAATACTGTGCAACTTAATGGATAATAAATCCTTAGGCTGTACTTCTTTCTAATAGTTTAAATATAAATACATATTTTACCATTAAGTCTAAATATGAAATTAATATATATATATATAATATGTAATTGATAAATCAGTAATGCTACACTAACTAAATTTTAGGATCAAATTTAAAGTCCAAATGACATGACAGTATATTATTTGGAGTCTTTATTGAGACCCGAATGACATGACACAAAATAAAGAAACCCAAGTCAGCTGCCATGTCATTTGGACTCTAAATTTTGTCCCAAAATTTGGTCAGTGTAATATTACTGTTGATAAATATGTTTTATGTATATATCAAAGAATATATAGATAAATAACATACATTTCATTGTACATAATTAACTTTCTATTTATTTTTCCTTCTAATTTTAAAAGGATCGATTTTGATGAGTTGAAAGAAAAACTAATTCATTCATTTTTCCGTCATTCCTTACCAAATATAAGATTTTATTTATTTTTTAAATTTTTCATCCTTTTATTTTTTTTATCATACCAAATGAAACATTGGAATCGTGAATTTAAACTTCGTTGTCCCATTCTTATAGCAGTGGCTGACAAATTTTAAAAAAAAAATTGAGAAATTATGTAGAATGGAATTGTTGACGCTTCTGCACAGAACTTCTGTTCAAAAACCACCATGGGTAAAAATTGTAAAGCACAATAATTGCACGTCGCCTGAGAGATTCGAACTCTCGCGGGGAAACCCCATGTACTTAGCAGGCACACGCCTTAACCACTCGGCCAAAGCGACGGTGCGTTCTTATGCTTTCTTGATGATATATATTTATTAGTTTGATTAGATTAATGCTATTGAAGTTATCAGTTGGTCATGTCCTATTGTGCTTTCAAATCATGTAAATTATGTCAGTGTTAAAATTTATTGAGTTGATATAACAATACAAGACTCTTTTATAATCAAGTTTATATTACGCTTAGCTAAATTCGTGCCGATCTATTTACTTGACAAGTTTTATGAATTCAATAGATTATCACCCAATTACTCTAAAATTAAATTCAAACGAGTCCAACCTGTTAGTTTTATCTACTTCATTGGGTTCGCAAGTCTTGTGATGAATTGTCAGGCTTAGAAACAATTGACATGATCCACTAGTATTAGTGTAATTATAATTGTAACCATTGATGAAAAATAAACGTATTCGATTTTGTAGCACGGATCTTTTACAAGATTAATTCGGATCAACTTTGATTCCTTTAGAAAATGTAGTTCAAGGAGCTATATATGGAGCAATTAAGAACAATTTATATCAACTTCTCAGAATTTAATAACTTCAACCCCATTAACAACTATTTATGATTTTATTTTCGAATTATACCCATTATCTCAAATTTTGAATCGAACTAATCCATTGACATAATAGTTTTTAAGGATAAAATTGAGTCATTTAAGACCTAGAAGATTGACAAGGCAAACCACTAGTTTTCGAATACGAGATACCCATCCTAGTCACTATGAACATATTTGCCCAATTGACACATCCGAAAAAATTAATATTGGACATATTGGATCCTTGGCAATTCATGCAAGGATTTGTCATTGGGGGTCTCTAGAAAGTCTTTTTTTATGAAATTTCGAAGAAATCACCCTGTAAAGATGAATACCATATGGTAATGATAAGAAATTGTTTGACCTTGAATAGCGGTATTCAAGAAATACTTGTATTAACATCAAGTACTTTTTATTTATTAGGTAATCGAGAATATCCTTTCTGCACCATTCATACTTGAGCCACTAATCAACATACATCTTTCTCTCCAGTAAATGAGACATCAAATAAAAGAGGTAAACTTAGAAGTTGCATTATTTGGATGTCCAACAATACCCTTTTTTTTTGGTTATCTCTCCTCCTAACAGTATTTTCGGGTTAATTACATGCAAGCCTCCTCGTGTTTACCTCTAAATTGCATGGACCTCTCTAAACTTGAAGAAAAATAAAATATATCACCACCATATTAGTAACCAAACTTGTGAAAATAAAATTAATTTTGTTAGTGAACGGAGCAGCATACCCTACTTACCTATATTTAGTTAAAAGAAATCTAAATTCCATCCCACGATTATACAATCACCATCATCGCCGCACCCCCTACTCAGATTTCAAATTCATGCATAGGTTGAAGCAATTGTGGATAACACAGTCGAATTTTAACTATACGATTGATCATACGCTCTCTAATTTGGCAAAACTACACAACTTCAGCAGATCCAAATTTCATAGGACCCATATCTATATATATATAACAATTAAATAAGGTGAGAAGCAACTCGAAAAACTTTTTCTTTCACTTTTTTTTTAGAATTTTTAATTATTTATCACTTAATCAATTATGTTCTAACACATGTCTCGTACGACTACTTGTCTACTCCACTAATTAACTATACTCATTGAATTTTATTTTTTTTAAATGAACAACTAATTTAATTTTTTTAGAAAATATGGTTTTACCACCATAACTTTACATAATTATTTTATCACCCTATTTTTTTTAAAAAAATAATAANATTTAAGACCTAGAAGATTGACAAGGCAAACCACTAGTTTTCGAATACGAGATACCCATCCTAGTCACTATGAACATATTTGCCCAATTGACACATCCGAAAAAATTAATATTGGACATATTGGATCCTTGGCAATTCATGCAAGGATTTGTCATTGGGGGTCTCTAGAAAGTCTTTTTTTATGAAATTTCGAAGAAATCACCCTGTAAAGATGAATACCATATGGTAATGATAAGAAATTGTTTGACCTTGAATAGCGGTATTCAAGAAATACTTGTATTAACATCAAGTACTTTTTATTTATTAGGTAATCGAGAATATCCTTTCTGCACCATTCATACTTGAGCCACTAATCAACATACATCTTTCTCTCCAGTAAATGAGACATCAAATAAAAGAGGTAAACTTAGAAGTTGCATTATTTGGATGTCCAACAATACCCTTTTTTTTTGGTTATCTCTCCTCCTAACAGTATTTTCGGGTTAATTACATGCAAGCCTCCTCGTGTTTACCTCTAAATTGCATGGACCTCTCTAAACTTGAAGAAAAATAAAATATATCACCACCATATTAGTAACCAAACTTGTGAAAATAAAATTAATTTTGTTAGTGAACGGAGCAGCATACCCTACTTACCTATATTTAGTTAAAAGAAATCTAAATTCCATCCCACGATTATACAATCACCATCATCGCCGCACCCCCTACTCAGATTTCAAATTCATGCATAGGTTGAAGCAATTGTGGATAACACAGTCGAATTTTAACTATACGATTGATCATACGCTCTCTAATTTGGCAAAACTACACAACTTCAGCAGATCCAAATTTCATAGGACCCATATCTATATATATATAACAATTAAATAAGGTGAGAAGCAACTCGAAAAACTTTTTCTTTCACTTTTTTTTTAGAATTTTTAATTATTTATCACTTAATCAATTATGTTCTAACACATGTCTCGTACGACTACTTGTCTACTCCACTAATTAACTATACTCATTGAATTTTATTTTTTTTAAATGAACAACTAATTTAATTTTTTTAGAAAATATGGTTTTACCACCATAACTTTACATAATTATTTTATCACCCTATTTTTTTTAAAAAAATAATAAATTTTTATCCAACTTTTTAAATGGTATGGTGACAATAAAACCAAAAAAAAAAAAAGAAGCAAAAAGTGGACAGAGAAGGGGAGTTCAATTTTCGTGCGGCCAACGCTAGTATTCTATACGTTCCTCACCAGAGTCTATTAAAACAAAGGCTCCTGCGTTTTTCCCTCCATGGCGGAGAACTTATCGCAGGACCAACCATTTCTTTCTGAACAGCTTTCTTTTTCTTTTTTTTAACTTTCTTCCCCACATAAAATTCTCACTTCTCCTTCTTTTCCACACCCCTCCCTATTATACCTCCCATACCCAAAAGGAAAAAAGAAAAAAAAAAACAGAAATTATATTAGATCAGAAAAAAACCTCCCTCTTGTAACCTCCACCTTCCTTCCCCGATCGATGATGGCCACGACGTTGATGGAGTTTTTTCCGATCTATCGCTAAAACTAAATCAATGAGAACTGTCATTGCCAAACACAGGCGTCGTCGATCTGGGTAAAAATTGGAAGGAGCATTTTATCAAACAATGGAGGTGCAGAGAATGGAGGAGTTGTTGTTTTTATGGTCAAGATTGCAAAGTAACCGTGTTGCCCTTGTGGGTGGAAATCACACCGCTTCCAGGTTTTGCACACGCTAATCTCGTTTCCGATCACAGTCACTACCCTCTCCTCTTTCTTGCTCTTCTTGCTTTGTATGCAATCTTTTTTAATTGCTCATCCCTTCTTCTTCGATCTCCCTCCAACTCTCCAAAATTTCAAATCCTTTGTTCTTCGCTTACATATAACTGTTCAACATCGCTCTTTCTTTTCTTCTTTCTTGAAAAACTCATTTCATCTGATTGACATGGGGTGGTACAAAGCCATGGATTTTGTACATGATTTTCAAATGAGATATCACGAGAAGATCAAGAAACTGAATATGGGTGGCCTAGCCCTTGCCCTTGGCTTGAACTCGGAGACGAATTTCGTGATAATTAGGCTCCCTCATTCATGGGTGTTGAAATTGGTATCTCGGGCTGTACTGTTCGTGTTAGCTTTGGTTATTGTTTCTTTCTTCTGCCTCAATTCGATAATCGGAGGTTTTACAGCTAATTTCCATGGAGCCAATTCTAATTCTGATCTTGCAGTTGATACGATGAACACAGAGCTGTTGCCTTTATTTTTCCGTGATTTGGCCAACGAAGGCCTTCTGAAAACGGGTGATCGAGCTGTTTTCCTCAGCAACGGCAACGAGGAAGCCATTGATGATTCTCAATTTCTGAGAGATAATGAGATGGATTTGATATCGTATTCGGATTCAGAGCGACAAAGCTTGATCCCTGATGAGACTTTTGACTTTGCTTTAACCCATGGCTTCCATGGGGACTCGAAATTCATCGACCGGGCTCTCAAGGTTGGTGGCATCGCTGCGATCCAACTCAGTGACAACCCTATGGTGGCATTTCAGAAGCCTTCCAACTACAAAATTGTCTATCTCCGAAAATTCGATTCAACCCTTGTGGCCATGCGGAAAACAAGCAATGGTGACACAAATTCACCAACACAACGGAAACTCTGTGGTCTTGCATCGGAAGCAAAGAAGGCAGCTCTGAAGAAGCTCGAGGACGTTCTCCTCGAACCACCAAGAGCAGCATCAGGGAGATCAAACACATACCTCAAGAAAACCAGGTACCTACCGGACCTAATGGGCGACTCTCTCGAAAGCTACCCACGACGAGTCTTCATCAACGTTGGCTTGCCAGACAAAAACGATTGGTTCGCAAAGCATTACCCAACTAGAAATAAGGATTTTGAGATATACAAGATTGAAACTGTGACAGAGGAATCATCCGGGAGGGAGGTACCACAGATTGGGATGTCGGATTGGCTGGGGAAGACCGTGAAAGAAAATGAGTACGTCGTGATGAAGGCAGAGGCTGAAGTGGTGGAGGAGATGATGAAGAGCAAATCTATAAGACTGGTGGACGAGCTGTTCTTGGAGTGTAAGCATCAAGGTATAAAGAAGGGTGGCAGAAGAAACAGGAGAGCATATTGGGAGTGCTTAGCTCTTTATGGGAGGTTGAGGGATGAGGGTGTTGCTGTGCACCAGTGGTGGGGTTAGAACAGAAAGTAGTTCACAGAGAGAGAGAGAGAGAGAAGGGCAGAGAGAGGTGACCATGTCCACAACAGTGTCCTATATTTAAATATCTGTGTTTTATGCACTTGCTGTTTTTCAATGTTTGGGTTTTGGGTTGTTCTTGATGATGTTTCTAAAGAGATAGGAGATAATGATAGTCATAAGAATATGGAGGGGTGTATCCAGAGTGTAGGAGTGATACTCTTGTAATAACACAATATTGACTGCTTCCTTTTCAGAAATTAATTTCTTAAGTAATATTCAGGTGCAAAATTTGAATCTTGAACACTAAAATCTCATGTTTGGAAGGGTTAATTTGGGGTATACTGATCTCAAACTTTCATCAGCTTTGGCCAAGTTCAACCATAAATTGCTAATTTCACTAAATCTCACTGGGCTGTAATGGATATCATTCTTAAGCTAATGATAAATAACTGAACTTGATCTAAATTGATAACATTTAGAATGGAAAGATCCAACTTCTTTGAATCAGACCTTGAGGTCAAGGAAGTCAGCAAAATATGAGTTAGACTGGAGTTAGGAAAATCAAATATCTGTAGAACACAATGTGGGATGCAATAAAAACTTCAATGCCGAGAATCAAGCATTGCATATATGTGTGAGTGTGTGTATGTGCCCATCAGCCCATGCATTTACAAATTGAGCGAAAAGGAAGACGGTATACATACTAGACACATGGACTTGGGCATAATATTTCAGAGAACTTGTTAACCTCATAAGTACATCTTCAATGAAATGTAGTCGTAGAAAATGAAACTACACCCCACAAGAAAGTTTTAAGCAGGCCAATTCACCATAGATAAGAGGGTTTTACAAATGGTTTAAAGAAGAGTTCTTGTCAACTTATCACAGCTAATCCTGTTTAACCCCCATGCTGCATTCCAGCCGTACCCAGTTTTCACTTAATTTAAGCAAAATTGGAACCAAATTACATCATCGAGCCTTCTCAAATTTCATGTGATCTTCTATTTAACGGGCCTATGTCTCCAGAAAAAGAATAATATTCAAATATCCTAGCATCCTATGAGCCAAACTGAACCAATCTCAAATTTCGCACCAGCAAAGTTAAAAATTGCTGATAAAAAAAAGAAGTTAAAAAAGGGCAGAAAATCACAGAAAAAAAAAGGAGAAAGGAGGAAGAGAAGGGGGGGGCTCCACCGTGAAAAAAGTAAGTAATGAAGAAAGTGCATAAGTGAGATACGGACTATTTCAAACCCAAAAAAAGGAATGTTTTTTCCCTGGCAATAAATAAATTTTGAAAAGGCAACCAAATGACTGAAGCTCTCGCTGCCACTCAAATTCTATTCAAGTTAATAACCATTGATATTTATTACTAAAATAGATCATGAGTTTTTTCTAGTTTGCAAACCAAATCACAACTAGAGATAGAGAGGAGCCACATAAGAAAAACCCCACTCTCAACAAAAGAATCAAACAATCAATATTCTGATCAATACAGACAATGCAAAAAAGACAAATAGCACAAATGGAGAATATTCACACCCAGAATTTGGCTCCAGGTCTGCTTGCAGAAGAGACTAATGATGCAGGCATAGCTGGTCAGATGGTACCTGTGGTACAAAGACTTGCACCCCAAGCAATACTGGCCGCACACAACAAAAGCACGCCATCAACAGAACATGATTTGGTCATTGTCATATTGAATAACGGCTACCCGGAAGCTAAGCAATCACATATCACACAAAGTGAGTGTTGCAGATACAAGCATCGGACAATGGCATGCTAAGATCAAAGTTTCAATAACCTAAAGTGACATAAAAACTTATAAGACAAGACATATCTGCAGAGATATATTGCTACATATTCACATACCTACAGAATGAATCTTTAAGCAACGAAGTGGAAACTATACTGTGAAACACTGCTTAAGAAAGAATACCAAGATACATACCGACAGTAGATTCTTAAGTGCCTTTCACTATCATAACCGGGCATTGTGCATGGTTAGAACAGTAGTTGCTTACACTTCCCAGAAACATCCTGTTTGGATTCAACAAACCATGAGGTGTAATTCACTGAAAAGAGCACACCAAGGCATAGAAGTTTGATGATCAGAAAAAAGGAATCAATATCTGAGTTATGTTAATTTGAGTTCATGTTCATGTCAAGTATATACTTTTAAAGTAGAGCAGTTTCACACTGCAGGTCATCTCAATATCAGTAGTTTTCAAAAAAATGCCTTTAAACAAAGTGAAACCCTCACCACTAATTACTCTTGGCACTTATTTGTGCGAGCCAATATAGTGGTGNATCAGCTTTGGCCAAGTTCAACCATAAATTGCTAATTTCACTAAATCTCACTGGGCTGTAATGGATATCATTCTTAAGCTAATGATAAATAACTGAATTTGATCTAAATTGATAACATTTAGAATGGAAAGATCCAACTTCTTTGAATCAGACCTTGAGGTCAAGGAAGTCAGCAAAATATGAGTTAGACTGGAGTTAGGAAAATCAAATATCTGTAGAACACAATGTGGGATGCAATAAAAACTTCAATGCCGAGAATCAAGCATTGCATATATGTGTGAGTGTGTGTATGTGCCCATCAGCCCATGCATTTACAAATTGAGCGAAAAGGAAGACGGTATACATACTAGACACATGGACTTGGGCATAATATTTCAGAGAACTTGTTAACCTCATAAGTACATCTTCAATGAAATGTAGTCGTAGAAAATGAAACTACACCCCACAAGAAAGTTTTAAGCAGGCCAATTCACCATAGATAAGAGGGTTTTACAAATGGTTTAAAGAAGAGTTCTTGTCAACTTATCACAGCTAATCCTGTTTAACCCCCATGCTGCATTCCAGCCGTACCCAGTTTTCACTTAATTTAAGCAAAATTGGAACCAAATTACATCACCGAGCCTTCTCAAATTTCATGTGATCTTCTATTTAACGGGCCTATGTCTCCAGAAAAAGAATAATATTCAAATATCCTAGCATCCTATGAGCCAAACTGAACCAATCTCAAATTTCGCACCAGCAAAGTTAAAAATTGCTGATAAAAAAAAGAAGTTAAAAAAGGGCAGAAAATCACAGAAAAAAAAAGGAGAAAGGAGGAAGAGAAGGGGGGGGCTCCACCGTGAAAAAAGTAAGTAATGAAGAAAGTGCATAAGTGAGATACGGACTATTTCAAACCCAAAAAAAGGAATGTTTTTTCCCTGGCAATAAATAAATTTTGAAAAGGCAACCAAATGACTGAAGCTCTCGCTGCCACTCAAATTCTATTCAAGTTAATAACCATCGATATTTATTACTAAAATAGATCATGAGTTTTTTCTAGTTTGCAAACCAAATCACAACTAGAGATAGAGAGGAGCCACATAAGAAAAACCCCACTCTCAACAAAAGAATCAAACAATCAATATTCTGATCAATACAGACAATGCAAAAAAGACAAATAGCACAAATGGAGAATATTCACACCCAGAATTTGGCTCCAGGTCTGCTTGCAGAAGAGACTAATGATGCAGGCATAGCTGGTCAGATGGTACCTGTGGTACAAAGACTTGCACCCCAATCAATACTGGCCGCACACAACAAAAGCACGCCATCAACAGAACATGATTTGGTCATTGTCATATTGAATAACGGCTACCCGGAAGCTAAGCAATCACATATCACACAAAGTGAGTGTTGCAGATACAAGCATCGGACAATGGCATGCTAAGATCAAAGTTTCAATAACCTAAAGTGACATAAAAACTTATAAGACAAGACATATCTGCAGAGATATATTGCTACATATTCACATACCTACAGAATGAATCTTTAAGCAATGAAGTGGAAACTATACTGTGAAACACTGCTTAAGAAAGAATACCAAGATACATACCGACAGTAGATTCTTAAGTGCCTTTCACTATCATAACCGGGCATTGTGCATGGTTAGAACAGTAGTTGCTTACACTTCCCAGAAACATCCTGTTTGGATTCAACAAACCATGAGGTGTAATTCACTGAAAAGAGCACACCAAGGCATAGAAGTTTGATGATCAGAAAAAAGGAATCAATATCTGAGTTATGTTAATTTGAGTTCATGTTCATGTCAAGTATATACTTTTAAAGTAGAGCAGTTTCACACTGCAGGTCATCTCAATATCAGTAGTTTTCAAAAAAATGTCTTTAAACAAAGTGAAACCCTCACCACTAATTACTCTTGGCACTTATTTGTGCGAGCCAATATAGTGGTCCATTGATTTGTGAAATTGCCACAAAAGACACGATTGCAAAATAATAACATAATTAACAAGTTTTATGTGACTAGAATAACTACTTTCATGGTACGGGGGCCAATCTAGTGCCCAATTCTTCTTCAATGGCCACATCTGTGGTGATAATATGANTTTTTTTTTTTTGTGTTTTCTAATTACACAATCAGTTGGTGTCATGCATGTTCATATAATTATACTCTCTCAACCAATGCTAAATTTTGATGTTTGAGGATCGAAACACAAAATTATAAATAGTATGTTGTTGTCACTTTTCATGCACCATAACTTCTCAAAATTGTTCTCTATGATATTTTCAAAGATCAACCAAAAAAGAGTTTTTCGCAACGATATTTTGTGTTCTTCCTGCAACACAATTTTTATGTATTGCCCTTATGATTACAAGCATGTTTGATCTATATTGTAGGTCCAATGACATTTCATTTTCACTTGTTTCAACATCTTTTATTGCTTCCTTACCAGTTCTACAAGATGTTGACCCCACCACATTCCTTGCCAATATTCTCTTTTGTTTCTCCTGGGTTTTTTTCACTGTTGTAGATCGTGTTTTTGTCATATCCTATGTTTACAACAAAAAATTAGACACTTAAGAATAAATTTGAATATTAATGTATCTTGTCACTGTATGTTATGTCTGTATGTTTTTTAATCTCTATTCAATGATAATTTAATAGTCACAATATGTTGTATATTTAATTGTTATAT